TCACTCTCCTCCTTTTGATGTACGAGGCAGGACATGGCAAAACTGGCTGGAGAAATAAGCAGGACCTGTCAATTACAAGATACCAGGACAGTGCCAAAAAATTTCCAAGACCTCATATGTAGAACTTCTTGTAGGTTCTCATGAGATATGAATTGCACATATATAAAGACACAGATGCCATGTGGAGCCCACTACCATGACTCTTCACAGTAGCCCATACTGTGTCTCGCAGTCACAGGATGTACTTTTCTTCACATTATCATTTGGGGAGGGGTATGGGAACTCGAACTCAAGACCTTCTGCTTGTGAGGCAGGCGGTGGCACCACTGAGCTAAATCCCCAGGCTATTATTATATATATATATTTTTTTGTCTCTTATCTGGCCCAAGATCACTCTACAGAACTATTTTTTTTTCTTTCCCATTCACTTTTTTTTTTTAATGGTACCAGGGATCAAACTTGGGACCCTGCACTTGCAAGGTAGGCGATGGAACCAATGAGCTAAATCCCTGGCCCTTTCCCATTCACTTTTCAAATAAAGTTTAGCAACATTTTTGACTTGTATCAACCAATTCTTTGATCAGGGCAAGAAGGACTTGGAATAAGTTTAATTGGCAAGGTATTGCTAAAGAAATTACTCAATAATACTACCCATCAACAATATTCAAGAAGAGAATATTAAAAGCTGTTAGAAAAAAGAAACAAATCACATATAAAGGAAAACCATTCAGAATCATAGCAGACTTCTCAACACAAACCTCGGATCAAGGAAAGCTTGAAGTAAAGTATTTCAAGCCCTAAAATAAAACAATCTCCAACCCAGACTGATGTATCTTAAAAAACTATCTTTCAAAGCTGATGGATAAATACTTACATGACAAAGAACACCTAAGGAAATTCATGAACACCAAACACGAAGTCCAAAATGTTCTAAAAGATATTCTCGAAAGGGATAAAAAGGATTACAACTCCATAAACCTCAGAAGAACGAATCTACCAGGCAAGGCAAGAAATTAAACAGAGGGGGAAAAGGGAGCCAAGAATAACATGACAAAAATAAACCAATACATATCAGTTATATCCATCAATATTAATTGTCTCAATTCGCCAATCAAAAGAAACAGCCTGGCAGTATGGATCAATAAGCAAGATCCAACAATATGCTGCATACAAGAAACACATTTAATTCAAAAAGAAACTGACAGACTGAAAGTCAAAGGATGTAAAACAATACTCTATAAAACAGGAACCCTAAAACAGATTGGGTAGCTATTCTATTTGCAGATAAAGTGGATTAAAAGCTAAGATTAATTAAGAGAGACAAAGAGGGTCACTACATCCTTTTAAAGGGAACAACCTAAACGGAAGAGATAACAATCATAAATACATATGAACCAAATACTAGTGCACCCCACTATATAAAACAAGTATTAACAGACGTAAAAAATCAAACAAGCACTAATACAATTGTAATGGAGGACCTCAATACTCCACTGTTACAAATAGACAAATCAATTAGACAAAATATCAACAATGAAATATCAGAACTGAACCAAACTTTTGAACAAATGGACTTAGTAGATGTCTACAGTACTCCACCCCACAACATCAGAATACACATTCTTCTCAGCTGCACACAGGATGTTCTCCAAAATAAACCACATACTAGTTCACAGAATATGCATAAGTAAATGCAAATGAACTTAAATTATCCCATGCATATTATCAGACTATAATGCAATGAAATTAGAAATCAATGGCAAATATATGTGACCAGAGTCCTGCCAGCTCCTGCCCAGGGGACAACCTAATGTTTGCCCTGGAGACCAAAGGCTCGTGAAAATTTGGAGCAAGGGAAATCCAGCAGACCAGTTAAAGCCAAAATGGAATAGTGCTTTTTTTTAGGGATCTTTGCAACACCAATTGCAGTAAAGGGGCAAAGAGGAGTAATTGGAATCATCTTTCAAGATTAAAATTTATCTCAAGTGAACTGCTGAAGAACAAGTTCACGCAAAAGGAAAAAGCTATTCCTGTGAGTCTCTGGAAGACCTGAAACTTCTCTTCAAAAAGCAAGGCTCTTGTGCTGCTACAGATAAGCAAACAAGATCTTACTAAGACCATGGCTCTCAGACTGATAATTCATCTCACATTTCTCTCTAGCATACATTCATCTCTATAGGAAGTATGGAAAACTGACTTGCTCCTCACAATTGGGCTAACAGTAGTTCTTCCTTCCATGAAATTGGTAGTCCAGGGTTACTAACTTTTCTCACTGTATTCCAACAAGGTTTTCATTCTTCAACCCAGCCAGCAAGCCATAGCACCCCAAGTTAGTTGGAGAGCACATATTCCCTAATAGGTAGGGCCAACAGCCCATTAGAGCTCAAAGAAGTTATAAAAGACAGAGACCCCACACACTGTCAGCACAACATAAGATGTATGGAGTATATGTATCTTAGGGGAAAATGATATAGGACAGAGCCTGGCAAACCTGGTGGGAGAAATAAGTGGGACCTGTCAATTACAACAAAGCATCAAAAGATATGGAAAAAATTGAAACTGAAGTGAAAATCAGAGATTTTTAAATATTTCTGGAGAGTAAAAACATGATATCCATAATTAATAGAACCAGAAGGCAAAAGAAATCATAATGATATACTTAAAAATCAGTATCACTCCAAGCAGACTTACTGAATACTTCATCTAACAAATGTAGAGGAAACAATCTTCTCAAAACCACAAGAAATATTTACCAAGGCAAATCAGCAGAGCATAGTAAAGAGCTCCACAACATCGAAAGAAATGGAAATAATGTCAAGTGAGCTCTCAAGAAGTAATGGAGTCAAACTGGAAACCAACAACAGAAAAATGCTTGGTAAACTTTTAAAAATAAAGATTAAATCACAAATTTTTGTGTGAAAGAATGGCTTATAACACTATTAGTGTTTTCATATTTGAAACTGAACTTACATATTATCATTTCAGGGGGTGCGTCCAGAGAAATTTAAAACAATGCATGTATTAGAAAACAACAAAGAATTCAACTTAATATTCAAATATCTCATTTCAGAAACCAGTGAAGCATGAGCAAGATAAAAATGAAGATAGCTCAACAAATAACTGCAAATTCCAAGCTCAATATTCACCCTGGATTATAGAACACAATGAGAACTATTTAAAGCATTTATAATTGGGCTACCGCATAATAAATTGTCATCTATTACACTGAAAACCTATTAAAACTCTAGGATCATATAAGTAAATGCACAGAAAACACAAGGAAGGCAGTAAAACAATAAGTATTGACATTAAAATGAAGCACATAAAATTTTGGTCATTTTCCCATAGCATCATTGTATATGCTCGAAAAATTAAAGAAGTAATAAAAACAAAGAGATTGTAGCATGCTGTATGTTCCTAGCTTAGTAACAGATCTGTCATCTAACTATGTACTATGAACTGGATTAGCAATTGTTAATATTATACCATATGCAGCACACATTATGACACAACTAATTTCACATTAAAAGCTCACATATGAAAAATGCTCAACAATAGATGTATTCAACTAACATATGATAAAATAATAAAGAAAATGGTGTTTAGGAGTAAATGGAGATATATAAATACATTACATCCCCCTAAGTGTTGGCAGCGCACAATCAAGAATCACCTATATGTGGAATATAAAGTCCACCTCCATCAGCATTCCAATTCTTGAAAGTGTCTACAGTCCAAGGACTTTAGCAATTATTTGAGGTGCTGCCTCTACGCTTTTTTACTCCTACCGAATCACAGGTCCGTGCAGACGCCGGAGTGTAATGACTCTCACACTGTGCGTGTAACAGGCAGTGTCTTTTGGAATAACTTTAGCAGGAACACTTTCTCCTGCGCTTGCTCACACATCAACACCTCCTCCATTTCTCTCAGCATTCTAAACTCTGTGGGAAGGCCTCACTTCAGTGGGCTCTGTTGGTAGAGGAACCACCTATATCATTAATATAATTGTTTTTGAATTGCTGTGCATGTAACACAGGAGTTCGCTCCATTCTTGGTAAGCACTCTACCGCCTATTCACATCGCCAGCAATACTGAACATCTCTTTGTTTTCTTTTCATTTGTTTTTTGTTGCTGTTTGATACAAGGTCTCACTAGTTCAGATTGGTCTGTATCTCACTAGGTAACCGAGGCTAGACTCCGACCCACAGCCAACTTCCTTCCTCGGCCTCCGGAGTGCTCGGGTTACAGGTGTGCACCCCCCGAGCCTGCTTATTCTTTCTTTCAATTCTCACGGCATTACTAATCACTTATCCTGAG